GGAAAATTCACTTCTTACATTTTAATTTTTTCTAGAAAACTGGCAGAGGGAAAATTTTGAAAATTTTCCAAGAAAAAGAGGAAAGTGAGGAGCTCATTATAGGAAAATTTTGAAATTTTTCAGTGAAAAGTCACTCCAGGAAAAATTCAAAGAAAATTGACTTATTTAGGCAAAATTAAGGAAAAATTATTGAGGTAGAATAATAAGGAGGCGACATAAGGAGAAAAAAGCGTATCCCACTTCCGCCATATTGTTACGATACTTCTGTCTGAAATTCTGTCACTTTTGTCATAGCAACGCGTCAAAATTGCATCAGGGACGCATTTTCCATCCGAAAATTTTTTAAATGCGAACAATTTTTGAAGCCTAGAATTCCTATTTTGGGTCTTGGAAGGATCTCCTGTTTCAGTAAGTTGAAGTTTCTGTAGCTACTTTTTTTTTCTTGGTGTAATCTCGATTTTTTTATGTTTTTTTTTGCAGTTTCGCTATGAAGCTCACGGGCCCCTCTCGGGCCCGGGCCTGTGTGCTTCGCACACATGGCACACCGGTAGATACGCCACTGGAAAAATCCTACCTCAAATTCACGTTTTGTGTTTGGACCACCTTTTCTTAAAATTGTCAGAAATAATTGAGATTTTATTTTTTGATCATCAAAAGATGCGGATGTAAACCCAATCATTTTCATTGAGTTGATAGGGAGCGCCGTCTCTGACCAATCAAGTTAACTATGGAAATTGCTTATTGCATCGACTTGCTTTCGGTTCGTTTACATCAGAACAGGAAAATAATATAAAAACTTTATAATTTGAATTTTTGAAATTTTTTTAAGACCCATAACTTTTTTTTTATTATGGATAGAAAGCTGAAATTTTCACTGAAATTTATCTCAATAATGGGACTACATTTCATCGTTTTAGTAAGAATTTTCACTGAAATTTCACTAAATTTTATCCCAATCAAGGAACTACAATCCCTGAAAAGCTCATTTGCACTTATAATTTCTGAGATAAAATCGTGTTAATCAATTTGGGGTGATTTATTAATTGTTCAATTTTGCTGAGTGCCTTTTTTTCATAGATTTCGGCTGCAAATCTCAGAATAATTTAGTGTATGGAGTTTAGGGGATTCCAAAGGACCATTAGGACATAAAAATTCAACAAGAAAAATTGAAATTTTATCGTTTTAGTAAGAAGATGATTTAGATTTTGAAAAACTTTGAGTTCCTATTTACTCACAACACAAATTGGCAACCATGTCGATGAAAAATTTTCAAATACGAAAAAACTGATTTATATGAAACAGGAAACACTTTTACCAATAACAAAGAACTTTGATTAGCAACAAAAATGTATGGATTTTTTTTTCTTAATTTCTCATTGGTGGATTGGGATTAAGTAAAAACAACAATTGAAACAATTTTTTGCTTAGAAAAAATTAATGGGGCGGATGAGCTTATACCAATAATAATGAACTTTATTGGATTTATTTTTTCGGTAATTTGTCATTGGTAAATTGGGATTATTGGAAGCAGGCAATTTCCGACTTCATGCAATGAAAATTGTTCAGGGCAAACCAATCAATATGGCGGCCGCGGTCAAACAATGATAAAATGATTTAATTTACCTTCAGACAATAGCAGAGCTGTCAGTACAAGTAATTACTTGGAAAATGTATTTCAATTACTTGTCAGTATTTGAAGTACTATAATTCAAATACTTTTGTTTTTGGATATTTGTACTTGATTCTGCAAATAATTCAAATAAAGTATTTGTATTTCGTACTTGGATTCACAACAAAAAGTAATTCAAATACCATTTCTACTTCAAATACTTAAAATATTTCAAATACCCCAGAAAGTTATTCAAATACTTTACCAAAATGTGAAACTAACATGTCCTAGGAAGTAAAAATGCTATATCAGCAGATAGACTGACGATTTTTTCGAACTGGATGGTTCCCACCTAAGGTTCCCACTCCCCGGACAGTCTTGGAAATAACAATAAAAGAAAATTCGAACTGGAAATTTCTCAATATGCAAAGGATACCAGTATAAATTTTTCTGAGATTGTAGTAAATTTCAAGTTTTGCCTCAGAAGTTTTCTTAAAATCTGACATGGTCTCACAAATTTGCTTATAGTTTTGGTAATTCTCAACGAATCTACTTGAATAATAGATTTTCGGTAAGAGGATAAAATTCTCTATAAAACCTCCAAAAACTGGATTAATTGCTTTTACAGGCTTTGAGAAATTAGACTTCAAAGTTAAAATTTGATTGAAATTTTGAATAAAAAATCCAAACAGGGTAGAGCCTGAAAAATCAAAATTTTGAAATTTTCAATTTTTCTAAAATTGAACTAATCCAATCGAAAGAAGAGATCAAAATTATTCGAAAACAAATCCTAGGTTATTTTCAGGAAGGTGATTTCATGAGAAAAAAAATTGAAAAGCAAATCTCAATTTTGTCCTAAGAAATTTTCTCAAAATCTGACATGGCCTCACAAACTTGCTCACAGTTTTGATAATTCTTAACGAATCAACTTGAATTATAGATTTTCTGAAAAAGGATTAAATTCTCTATAAAACCTCCAAAAACTAAATCACTTGCTTCTACAGGCTTTGAGAAATTGGGCTTCAAAGTTGGAATTTGATTGAAATTTTACCAAAAACTTCAAGATCAAATAACTCAGAAACCACAAATGATAAAAATATTTTCTAATTGACGTATTGAAGTACTCAATGAGAGCTACAATCTTGACTTGATACTGTGTATATTTACTGAGATATTGTCAATGAAAGATTTTGAATAAAAAATCCAAACAGGGTAGAGCCTGAAAAATCAAAATTTTGAAATTTTCAATTTTTCTAAAATTGAACTAATCCAATCGAAAGAAGAGATCAAAATTAGTCGAAAACAAATCCTAGGTTATTTTCAGGAAGGTGATTTCATGAGAAAAAAAATTGAAAAGCAAATCTCAATTTTGTCCTAAGAAATTTTCTCAAAATCTGACATGGCCTCACAAACTTGCTCACAGTTTTGATAATTCTCAACGAATCAACTTGAATTATAGATTTTCTGAAAAAGGATTAAATTCTCTATAAAACCTCCAAAAACTAAATCATTTGCTTCTACAGGCTTTAAGAAATTGGGCTTCAAAGCTGGAATTTCATTGAAATTTTACCAAAAACTTCAAGATCAAATAACTCAGAAACCACAAATGATAAAAATATTTTCTAATTGACGTATTGAAGTACTCAATGAGAGCTACATTCTCAGAAAAATTTGACTTGATACTGTTTATATTTACTGAGATATTGTCAATGAAAGATTTTGAATAAAAAATCCAAACAGGGTAGAGCCTGAAAAATCAAAATCTTGAAATTTTCAATTTTTCTAAAATTGAACTTTTCCAATCGAAATAGGAGGTCAAAATTAGTCGAAAACAAATCCTAGGTTATTTTCAGGAGGGTGATTTCATGAGAAAAGAAATTGAAAAGCAAATCTCAATTTTGTCCTAAGAAATTTTCTCAAAATCTGACATGACCTCACAAACTTGCTCACAGTTTTGATAATTTTCAACGAATCAACTTGAATTATAGATTTTCTGAAAAAGGATTAAATTCTCTATAAAACCTCCAAAAACTAAATCACTTGCTTCTACAGGCTTTGAGAAATTGGGCTTCAAAGTTGGAATTTGATTAAAATTTTACCAAAAACTTCAAGATCAAATAACTCAGAAACCACAAATGATAAAAATATTTTCTAATTGAGGTATTGAAGTACTCAATGAGAGCTACAATTCAGAAAAAATTATTTGGGACTTTGCTGTTTATTGGTTGAATCAACTTTTTCTAGATAAATGTTAAATGGTTAAATTGAAAGTAACTACAATCTAAAACTGGAATCTTGGAATCTGGAAAAAAGTACTATAGAGACTTTTTTGAGGCATTAGAAGTATTTTCAGTATTCAATACAATTTTAAAAAAATCATTGAATAATGTGAATTCCTTTTTAGTGGATACTTGAAGTACTTCTTATTATTTCAAATACACATAGGTACTTATTTCAAATATTTAATTGAGTACTTGAAATATTTACAGAGTATTTGAATTATTTTACTTGAAAAAATCAAGTACTTAATTAAAGTATTTGAAACTTGAAGTACTTTTCAAATTGAAAGTATTTAGTATTTGTACTTGCCACATGAATTTCCCGTAATTGATACTTGGTATTTGAAATACTATTTACCAGTATTTGTGACAGCTCTGGACAATAGTATGGTTTGTTATCATAAAACTTTTTTCTTTGTATATTATGCGAATTTCTAGTGCTCGAGAAAAACATTTTTCGAATTTCAAGATGGAGAGTCCTTATCTTAAGAAATTTCAAATTATTTGAGTTCCAGGAATAAAATCGCGTTATTTATGCAAGTTGAAAAAATTCGAAAAAAATTTATTCAAAAAAGTTGAATACCCACCGATATCGCAATAATCCACTTGGTAAAGGCTTTTTCCTCTCAACAGTTGCTGGCCATTGATTGTCACATGATCCATTGGTTCCCCAAAGTAAATTTTTCCAATTTTCGGTCGTTCTTCGACGATTTTCGTCAAATACTCTTCGAATGCCTCATAAGGCAGCTTAATTTTGTCACTTTTTTCCAGTTTTAGATAATTTTTGAAACCCTCCGCAATAGGATCTTGGAATTCTTGTTTGCGTCCTTCTTGTATTTGCCTATAGAGAAATTTCATAAAACAATTATCATACAACTCAAACACCTACATGGAAATTTTCTTTTTAATATAATCCTTATTGTAAATGGTCAAATAGGGCCCTGATTTAATAAGTTTTTCTGGGTCCATTTTGTCACAAAATATTGTCAAACTGACACTTATTGCCACCACTGGCCATATTTTTTTATTGTACCTTCGTCACAATATCAAGAACTTAAAAAAATACAACAAATCATCCAATTAACATTTTTTTATTTATTATTATTAATTCCTTATTTCCAATGGCAACCTTTTTTTTTTGCTTGAAGAAACAGGTACGCTAATAACGCAAAATAGAGACATTTTTTTTTGTTTGTTTTGTGGTCGCCCTGTATATTATAGGTACATCAAGAAGATATGACAAGAAACATCGATATTTTATTATTATTGCAACTACCCCTATTATAACTATTAATTTGTTTATTTGCAGTGTAAACCCGCTCAACTAATTTTATATTGATTATTGTGCATTTTGAGTGCGTTTACACCGTACGATTTATAACATCCTTATCACTTAAATATTATTATTTTTTGGGGGGTATGAGCCCCCTTATTGTCAGCACAGCCTCAAGGCATTCCACCTTAAAAAATTATTATCAATTTTTATTATCAATAATTAATTTGTTTATTGTAATACTTAGACTAATAATTATAATTACTAAACATGTATTTATTTTTTTTGTTGATATAATATTGTCATTTTTTTATTATGTATTTTCAAACATTTAAAAAAAAATCAAATACTTATTAGGTACCTATTCATTTTACAAAAAAAAAAAAATAGTATTTTATGTAATAATAAGGGTGGTAACTAGGTTATTACCGTACGCGAGAGAAATCTCCAGGGGTGGTAATAACCTAATTAACAAACGTATTATATACAAGTAGCATATTATATGCGTAATTATTAAATAAATAATGTCAATAAATAGCTAACTCTATATTATACAAATTGACAACGTTATCTATAATAATATAATTATTTCCTATATATTATAATATTTGTTTTTGTATAATATGTAGAATTTTTTTATGCGTGCCAGTTTATGTCTAACAATTGCATTAAAATTATATTACTTGTGATGTAAACTGAGCCACAAATCGACTGCGTTTACACCTACATTTGATGCAAATTTTAACAAGTGCGAAATCACTTTTAATTATTATTGTTCGAAGTTTTAAGCCTTTTATTTTAGTATTGTCAAATATTGTAATAATTAATTTTGAGCTACGCCCCATTTATTATCGCCTGACCAATAAAAGATTCGATATATTTGTACAGGACAGTATTTTAATTATTTATATTTTACAAATAATGAGTTTGAAGCTTAATAGTAATGACCAGAAAAATTACAAATTATTATTACACATACCTACTCCCATAGTTTATTCATCTTAAGATAAATTTGCTGGTAGGTAACTATCTGCAAAATAAATTTACCGTTCTATAATTCTATTGGCTAGCGGATAACCAATGAGATTACAGATTTCGTTTTAATCCGCCAGATTGCATACCTGACAGTTTATCAGAAGATAAATAAACTGCTAAAAAAATTTAATAACTCCTATCTTCTATCGATCCGTGTAAATACGTGTCCTGGGCCTGCGGCTGTACAGTTTCCTGTCTAAAAGGATTTCTGGACACTGCCCCGCCCAAAAACGGATTAGCGGGAGGCACGATTCCTTCCTGGGACAGTGTCCTTGGAGCTGGAGGTCTTGGAGGAGGCACGACGGGTCGTTCCAAGGAAGTTTCCATGGCGGCGCCGTAGTTTGTCAAACCGCCGTTTTGAGGCTAGAAAATGACAGTAATTTGAGTAAACGATGGGACAAGAGTTGTTACGCTAGGTATCCCCTCTTCTTTGAAATCAATAAAGAAAGATATTGATTTTAGCCGAAAGAGTAGATTTTCTAGCTTTTCCTAGATGGCATTACTTGCTCAATAACTATTAACGTGGCAAATATACAGACCGGACCAAACTACTAGACACATAATATGGAACAAATTAGCTTGTACTCGGTTTAGGCGAATCGAGGCGGTGCTGCAGATCAATGATCTTATTGAAATCTATAGCCAATTCACCTATGCGATTGACCAGTCGGCCATCTTGACAGATGAGCAATGCATTTACCGCAAATTGGTTGAGAAATGACCCCTAATTAATGGTTTATCTGTCAAGATGACCGATCGGTCGATCGCTTAAAATTGCCTTATGTGTCTAGTAGCACACGGTCTTACCTGCAATTAAGCTCTAATTAAAGCCAATTAAATTCCCTACAGGCCTGTTAACTATGATTTTAATTTGTTTTTAACATTAGTGCAGTTGAGAAACTTCAAAATCGAAATTATCAAACATTGAAAATTTTACAAAAATGACACTTAGACAGTTTTTGCCTCAGAGCTACATTAATTTACATCCGATTTGAACGTGATTGGACTCTAATTACAGCCAATTAAATTCTTTACAAACCTGTTAATTACGATTTGAATTTGTTATCAACAGTAATGCAGCTGAGAAGCTTCAAAATTGCAATTATTGAACATTGAACGTTTTCCAAAAATGACACTGATACGGTTTTTGCTTCACAGCTCTGTTAATTTTCATCTGATTTCAATGTAATTAGGCTCTAATTAGAGCCAATTAAATTCTCTACAGGCCTGTTAATTACAATTTTACTTCGTTCTCAACAGTATCGCAGCTGAGAAGCTTTAAATTTGAAATTATAGAACATTGAAAATTTAAAAAAAATGACACTGAGACAGTTTTTGCCTCACAGCTCTGTTAATTTTCATCCGATTTCAATGTAATCATGCTCTAATTAGAGTCAATTAAATTCTCTACAGGCCTATTGATTACGATTTCAATTTGTTCCCAACAGTATCGCAGCTGGGAAGCTTTAAATTTGAAATTATAGAACATTGAAAATTTTCAAAAAATGACACTGAGACAGTTTTTGCCTCACAGCTCTGTTAATTTTCAACCGATTTCAATGTAATCAGGTTCTAATTAAAGCCAATTAAACTTTCTACAGGCCTGTTAATTACGGTTTCAATTTGTTATCAACAGTAGTACAGCTGAGAAAATTAAAAATTGCGATTATCGAACATTGAAAATTTTTTCAAGGGAACTTGACAAAAAATTTAAACATGAAATTATTACTATAAATCATAAGAATATATTATGTTAAAACATATATCAAGGAAAAAAACAATTTTTTTTGTCGCAAACTGCCGCAATAAGGAATTAGAAATGCGGAAAAATTCAAATTATTTCCAGCGGGAAAAAACGCACTGGTACTGGTCGTGACGTCATCTAGTATGATCTGTCAGTGTCTGTCAGCAAACGTCCATCATACCGTGAGTTCGTCTTGAAACACTGACCGCTCGGAGCATTTTCCTTTTTTTTCCTTATAATGAGAAGAACTGGGATAAAAGAACAAAACCGCAGCTCTAAATTTTGTTTAAGCTTGTTCGATTTAAATTTATTTTCAACAGTATTGAAGATGAGAAGCTTCAAAATTACAATTATCGAACATTTCTATCGCATTTCAAATGCACAAGCTAAAAGAGACGGAAATAGTTGTCGAGTTTCAGATTATGACAAGTGACATTAGTGACCAGTTCCTTCGACCAGATGGAATCGTACAGTGCGGATTGTTTTTTTAAGGCAATTTTAGTGCGGAAAAGTGTTTTGTGCGTCCAATTGGCTAGGGGATTACCGGGAAATTCGAAAAAATATCGCTTTTTAACTCCAAATTCAAATTCACAACCGACTATTCTATTTCTATCGCATTTCAAATGTACAAGCTAAAAAGAGACGGTCAGAGTTGTCGAAAGTTTTAACTCATGAAAAGTGACATTTAGATGTTAGTGGCAAGTTCATTTGGTCAGGTGCGGGTCGTTTTTAGGGAAATTTCGGCAATTTTCGTGCGGAAAAGTGTTTTGAACGTCCAATTGGCTCGGGAGCAGTGTTCCCAACTCGGTAAGAATTTCCACTAATTCTAGTGGATTTGAAAGTCGTCTAGTGGTTTTAATAAATTCCGTTATAGTGGCAATTTTAATGGGAATGGGAATGGGTTCCACGCAAGAATCGTAAACTCTACAGGATTGCTCAATCGGCTAAATTTGTTCACAATTGCTGTGACGTCACGCGCATGCCGAATTTTCAAGATGGCCGCTGATACGAATGATGTTTAGTTTGTGCTGACAACTATTTTATCGTAAATGCGGATTTATCTAGTGTTATAAGTGTAAATTTAAAGTTTCATTTAATGTGTGTAAGCATAAAAGACTCGTGGCTGAAAATACTCGCGAAAACCCCAAGCATTTTCTGGTTTTATAATACTGGATTTGTCGTATCAGGACATCGCTCTTTTATTTGTGTGTATTGCTAGTTAGTATTTCCTAGTCAAGCATTTGTTTTGCTTTTTTTTGTAAATCAAATATCTGCTTAGTTGTAAGTTTGCTTTGCATGTAATTACTAATAAAAATTAGTGTTTGTGAAGAGTGAATAAATAAATATGTAAATAAATTCCTTTACTGGCGCGTTTACTATGAAAACGCATGGAAAATATGGGAAACTTGCAATGTTTTTCTGGAATATGATTATGAGAATCTAAATTAGGTATCACTATTTGGCTTTGTGAAATAAGCTCACTTTGAATGTCCATATTAAATCGTTCTAGTACCTATTAAATTAACGAATAATAATTGAGAAGTACCTAGGTAGGGTCAGTAAAAAATAAAGCACACTATTGCAACCCCGTTTCGCTTATATTTTGATATTGAAATGCAAAAATAAAACCGGCTCGGCACTCCACATTTGGTTTTCTACTGTTTCTCAACTGTAGTCAATTGTGCCCGTTTTGTGCTCAATTGTGCCAGTATTTATGCGAATTGTGCTCATTTTCATACACAAAAAAAAACATTGAAACGAATCCGGGGGCCAGCTTGACTCCAGCCCTTCCTTTTTTTGACTTTTTGGCAATATGTTTGGCTAATTGATAAACAAAAGCAAACAAACTCGTCTTTCTAATTAGCAATTAGCCAACCACTCAAGCCTCAAGGACACAAGCTTTTGAAGTCTGCTAATTTTAAAATCAATAAATTAATTACAAAATACAGTTTTCAAAGGAAATAACCTCAAAATAACAATTTTTCACGTTTGAAAATGCAAGGATAGTGCACTGTCATAAAAAACACAAACCGATCAAGGACTGCGTGACGTCATTCGCATACCGCCATCTTCGATGTTTTTATGAACGTTTGTCTTATGGGATTGAGCAATCCTGTAGAGTTTACGATTCTTGGGTTCCACGGTTTCTAGTGAATTTTTAGGTCAATGATTTTTAGTGATACTTCGCTTACATTAGTTTTCGATACTTCTTTTTAAAATTTTAAAATAACGTATTTGTATAGGATTCCTGGTAATTTGCAGAAGGCAGCATATTTTCAATGATAGACAATACACCTACAGGATTGCTCATGGTCCTCGTTTTTGATAATCACCGCCATATTGGTGTGTCACCATTTCCGACGTCATAACTAAGTCGTCAGCTGTTTAAACCAGGGACCCGGAACGAAATGAAATATCGGTTCCGTTCCGGTTCCGGTCCACAGCGTCATGACGAATATCGGTTCCGTTACGGTTTCGGTTCTAAGAGAAATATTTCGATTCGGTTCGGACCAATAATTTTGGTTTTAACGGTTCATTCATACCGGTTTAGTTTTTTACAAATATCTAATGGCCATTTGCACTGACCATTTCAAGAAGCATCCCTTAAAACGGTCATTACAGAAAAAATTATGTTTCTATAATTTGTGGTTTATTTTTTTTGGATTTCTCTGCCTATCTGCAACAACTTTAATAATCATACACTTGGCCAAACATAAAACTGGTACAGGCAATATATATTTTTAAAATTGCCTAGTGTGAGTCAGGCTTAACAACAAAAAGTCTGTTCTGAAAAACTTGCCGAGGGTTTCAAAAAAAGGTCCGACAGTTTTTGTCAACGTCAAACCTGTTTTTATGTTATGATTGGTTCAAATATGACACTGACTTGACTCTTTTTGTCATTGTTGAGGTGATAAAAAAGGCCGATTTACACAATACAACACAATAGGAAAATGCGTACCAGTTTTATGTTTGGCCAAGTGTACATAATAATTACTATTAAAAAATAAATGTTTGTGTTTTCGATTAGTGATGACGTAACAGCGTGTCGTTTCTCGCCTTGACGTAGTGCTTGCACCAGTTGCACCACGGATTAGGAGCAGGGTTGCCAGATCTATGAAATGAAAAAGCGGGACTGTTCTTATTCAGAGGGAAAGCTCGGGTGTCACGCCTAAAAGCATCAGGGGGGGGGGGCTGTAGTGCCCATGTGTCCCCCCCCCCTATGGACCCTCTTGAGCAAAAGCGCAACAAATTTTGTTAGGAATTCAACCAAAACTCGATCAAAAAAAAATTCTCCTTTATTAGATAACAAAATAAACGCTTCACGACAAAACAACAGTAAACATCATTATTTACACGCTATATAGAGTGGCAAAAAAGTAGCGCATAATATTTGTAACTCTTTGTATGAAAAAAGGTCCTAAAAAGCTAAAGGTTGTATGCACTACTTTTTTGCCACTCTGTATGTTTTGCAAGTGAAAATATTTTACGCACTAGTGCGTGAAGAATTTGTCTATATTTATTTTTTTATACATATTTGATTGATAGTAGAAAAAATTTTGTATGCAATACGTGCGTAAAGAACCTTTTTTCACTCATGTGATTGTCAAAATTCACATTCGTGAAAAAAGGTTCACTTCACACACTTGTTGCATAAATAATTATTTGACGAAAGTTGTCTATTTTTCAATGGCCAGAAAAAAAGATTTTTGTAGATGCTAGTTTGTTTGTGCAATGAAAGATTTGGATTTTGTTGAAATTTTTGACATTTTTATAGCTATACCATACAACATTTATTATTAAAACTCAAGAATCGTAAACTAATAGAATTACTCATCCTGATAAGGCGTACGTTCGCCGGTTCTCGAGTCCACAAGGTCTGCGAGTTACATCACCACATCAGCAGCGAATAGTGGTGACGTCACCCGCAGAGCTCGATAAAATGTTTGCAATTCAGGCTCGTTATTTGATTTTTGCGTCGATTTTAAATGTAGAAACAGCTATTTATGTAACAAGTTGTAAAACGAGCATGTTTTTTGCACTAAATGTGGAGATTGGGTGAAAAAAGCGGGAAAACCGGAACAATTCACGTGAAAAGCGGGACCTGAAATTAATAAAAAAAAGGCGGGACCGATTAACAAAATGCGGGACTGTCCCTCCTAAGGTGAGACGTCTGGCAACCCTGATTAGGAGGTGTTTTCTCGCATCTCAAAGTTTTGAAACATTTTCCAAAACTGGTTTAAATCAGTTTCACAATGACGTCATAATTTCTCGGCACGAGGAAATGGTTTTAAAACGTGGATTGGATTGTATTTCGAAACGGTTTAGAACCATAGTACATTATTTAATATTCTAAAACAACCCTTCTTTAGATCTCATTTGCATCTTCCTCTTTTGTCTATTGACTATTATGTTAATCAAATTTAAATTACCTATATTTTTCATCATATATGTATATTCTTAACTACGAACGCAAACCACTAACGAGACCGTTGATGACGTCAGCAACGGTGCAACACTATTTCATGAATTTGACGCCAAACAATCCTGTAGTAGTATGTAAAATCCTTGGTGTTGGTGTAGCCGTGTAGCCCAGCCGAATTCAGAAATGCGCACTGTCCAATGTCCAACACTCTGTGTTAATTTTAATCTGATAGAACGAAACAGCAAACAGCTTAATTTATAAAATCTTGGAACCGAAAAATACCGGTAAGAACCGATTAATTTATATCGGTTCTGGTTCTGTCTGTCCTACAACATTTCTATGGAATATGGGTTTCGTTCCGGTTCCGGTCCGCAAAAAAAAAAACGGTTTCGTTCCGGTTTTCGGTCCAGTTACAATATTGTCAATGATACTTTTATGTCAACTGTCAACATTGTCAATTCCAACTTCAAGTCAAATCAACCCGACTTTCATGATTTTATAAACTGCTGCTGTAACATAATCTAGAAACTAACACAACACAACACAACATGGTAGTGCCAAAAATTTCAAAAAAGAGTGAGAAAAATTTAGTAGATTTTCCACTTGTCCTGCGGCGCTATTTTTCTCTCCTAGTGGATTTTTGTGGATTTAAAATATTTTTTCCAGTAGACAGTCTTGGTTTAGAGTTGGCAACACGGCTCGGGGGCTACAAGGAAATTCGAACAAATATCGCTTTTTGTGTCCAAATTCAAAGTAGGCTATGTAAACAGCCGACTATTTCTATCGCATTCTAATTGTACAAATTAGAAAGAGACGAATATAGTTGTCGAAAGTTTCAACTCATGACAAATGACATTAGTGACGTAGCAAGTTTATTCGGTCAAATGGAATCGTAGAGTGCGGGTCGTTTTTTAGGAATTTTCTTAATTTTCGTGTTGGAAACTGTTATAAAATGTTTTGTGCGTCAAATTGGCTAGGGGGCCACGAGGAAATTTGAAAAACTATAGCTTTTTGGACATTTTCAGATGGTGGTGGTCAGAAATTGTTTCAGCCTCAAGGTAAGCACTGATTTCCCTTAAAAAATTAAATTTTAGTGAAAACTAAAGGCTGGTTTCGATTAGTTTTATCAAAAAGATGCATTTTCAAAGGTAACATTGGCCTAAAAATATGGCCGTGGCTAAAGTAACAGAGGTGTTACTATAAATATTTTCTTGAAGTAACATCAACTACGACGTCACTGACACTAAAGGCAGAAGCGTTACAGAAGCGAGGTTATAAGTTAATAATGGCAATGGCTAAATATAAACAACAATATTATGATGCTAAACTCTGGTATCGCGAAGGTGTTAAGTCGGCGGTTCCATATTCCCATTCCTCACATGCCCTTACTTAATAGTTATTTGTAAACCAAAGGGAGGGGAGTATGTGTAGGTATAGTTCTCTCCTACAGGTGAAATTCGATTACTTAATTACCAAAGAGAGAAACGGAACTTCACTACTCCAAGGTATTAAGTATATTATGATTTTTCCGAGGATTTTTCATACAAGATAATAGTAATTGATAATCTATTCCTAATACCTGCTTTACACATGAGGAGATATACGATACCTATCATAAAACTATTATCTACAGCCTACAGCGAAAAAACTTCTGCCTGGGAAGGAAAATAATTTCCTTTCCTCCCTAGGGAGGGGAAATAATTATTTTTCTCCCTGAAAAGAAGGTAAAAAATTGTCACTTTCTGACAGGTTCATAGGAAAATGTGTCTTTCCTGCCTTGCCCATAGTGCCTGTTTTATAGGTACCATCGTCACCAAAAGTATCTGGGACACAAATAATGCATAATAATCTCCCGGACTAATTCCGCTGTCATTCATTTCAATGCATTTAATTCAAGTTTGACAAATATTTGACAATAAAATTCATATAATAGGACAAGAGCTAATGTGATGCTGTCCCAGTTACTTTTGGTGACGATGGTACCTATTCCATTCTATCCTTCAAAGTCAGGTTATTTTTTATATATTTCCATTTTTACTCTAAAACAAATGCCAAGAACCGATATTCTTGGTTCTTCGCATTTGTTACTTTAAATTGCTAAAGAAAGTACCTATCTACATACTTATTGCTATATTGACGTTACTTCAAGAAAATAATTAGAGTAACACCTCTGTTACTATAGTCCCTATTAAAGTAACGTTGTCATCAGTGACGTCATTGAACTGATGTTACTTTAAATTAATAATTATAGTAACACCTCTGTTACTTAGCCACGGCCTATTAAAAATATTAAGTTTTTTAGCTGCTTTGTAGGTTATACTGTTAATTATTAAAGGGGTTTACACTTTTGAATTAATCTATTTTAGTATTTTGTGTTTCTACTTGGAAGAAATCTCTTATTAAATAATTACATTTTATACAAGATTGTTATGTCTATGGTTGTTTCAAAGCGGTAGATTGACTAATAACTTTTATGACGTCATCTAGGGTGCCTAAGCATGATTCCTTGCATGATGCAAATCTCCAGTTTCATTTTCAACTTTAAGAAATCATAACTTTCTTCCTGTTAAAGATAGAAAGTTGAAATTTTCAGCGATTCTTATCCCAGTAGTAGAGGACTACAATCCCTGAAAACTTCAGCTCATTTGGACTTATAGTTCCAGAAATAGAATCGCGTTAAGCAATTTGGGGTGATTTATCAATTTTTCAATTTTTTTGAGTGCCTTTTTTCATAGAATCCGGCTCTAATCTCAGAATAATTTAGTGTATGGAGTTTGGGGGATCCCAAAGGCCCATTAAGACACAAAATCTCAACAAAAAAAAATTTGAAATTTTATATTTTTTCATCGTTTTAGTACTGAGGTAGCTATCTTATGATTTAGATTTTGGAAAACTTTGAAAAGTCATAACTTTTTTTCTATTATAAATAGAAGGCTGAAATTTTCAGCGATTCTTATTCTAGTGGAGGACTGTAATCCCTGGAAATTTCAGCTCATTTTTGACTTATAGTTGCAGAAATAAAATCGTGTTAAGCAATTTGGGATGGTTTATCGATCCATTTTTCAATTTTCCTGAGTGCCTTTTTTCATAGAATCCGGCTCCAAAACCAAAACTCAGAATAATTTAATGTATGGAGTTTGGGGAGTCCCGAATGATCATTTAAACATAAAATTTCACCCAAAAAAAAAAATGAAATTTCATCATTTCAGTACATACTAAGACTTTTGAGTCACAGCTACGTTAATTTTCATCCCATTTGAACGTAATTATAGAGTTAGGAAAATTCCCTACAAGCCTATCAAATTCTCTACAAAATTGTTAATTAGGATTTTAATTTAGTTTCAACAGTTCTGCAACTGAGAAGTTTCAAAATTGAATTTATAAAATTTTATTAAAAAAACCAAAAAATTAGGGAAATTACCAAAAATTACGACGATTTTTTAAAAAAGGAAAACAACGGGAACTAGGACAAATTACAGGAATCATGAAAAACTACGAAAAATACCATAATTATAGAAGGAAGGCATTCCAGAATTACGGGAATTATTCAAAAATACAAAAAGTTTGAGAATTTTGAAGTAAAACTTCTTTCTTACGCATGGTAAGGTGAATTCGATTCATGCAATTTGTTATGTGACGCATGCAACGCTAGGCGTCCCCTCCTCTTAGAAATCAATATTGATTTTAGCTGGAAGAGTAGACTTCCTAACCTTCGATTCCATTTGTTGTTGTTGGAAATACCCAGATGGCATTACTTGCTCGATAACGATTAACGTGGTAAATATACAGACTGGATCAAACTACTAGACGCATAAGGAGGAAAACTTTGGTATTGCCGATCAATGATCCCATTGAAATCTATATGTCTAGCAGCCTGGTTCTGTTTGTAGATGACGCTACTATACTTACGTTAGTGTATTTGGCAACCGGTACCGTCTCGTTCATTTGGTTCCATTGCTTCTCTTCTTCAACAGTAGGATCCGCCCACGGTTGTAGCTCTCCTGAGGCGAATATTCCGTAAAATATAATGCCGCCATAATGGATGAATGCTGAGAGGATTATCAGGACCCGCCATTGTTCTTTTGTCTGTTAAAAATAAGAATTCCATATTATTTCAATACCAAACGACTCAATTTCAAGCAACAGTAGCAAACTCCCCTTGTCCTAAAATCGAAAATTGAAGTTCCGCACGGACGCATAATAAAAATGGAGGCGTCGCCAACGACCGATGCCGGAATAAATCCAAAGCGCCGTTCTCGGTTTGAGAGTGTTGCGACGCACTGGACCACGGAAATTCGGAAATGAAATTTATATGAGGGGGACACACTATTTTGATTTTATACAGGGTGAGTAATGTTACAATATAAAAATCAGATTTCTTTACTCACCCCATTAATAATCACACTGTTCTTGATAATCGGTACTATCGCGCCAGCTACCGTACCAATGCCGTTCGACAACCCCATTAAAATACTGGCATATCGCGGGGCGATATCCAAATGGTTGACGTTGAAACCGGAAATGGCGAAACCGCTAAAAGCGACACCTATCGTCAGTGCGGTCATTCCTTGCAGAGTCGTGTGCGAGTAGGCCATGGCCAAGAAAAAGGTGGCTTCGAGCCCGAAGCCACCGCAATTGAAAAGCTTGCGCACCTGCGTCGTGTTTAAAATGCCCTTTTTGCGCAGCTTGTCGGCCATTATTCCGCCTGCCGGTACTATTAAGGTCATTAGTAAGTGAGGTAGGGCACCTAAAGAAGCATTCTATGGGAAAAATATATTAGTTAAATTTAATTAATTATAGAAATTGTTACCTCGGCAGTACTAGTGCCAAAGGCTTCTTTGAAATACGAGGCTTGAAACAAAACCAAAAGGTAAAAGTTCCAGGATCTACAAAAATTAGCAACAAAGATGGCGTAGCAGGGCAACGACGTAAAAAAGGCTTTCCAAGGAGTACTGCGTAATGTTGGATTTGTGTAATGTTGTTGAGTACCTAAAAGAAAAATTATTTAAATAATACCTACAATAATTTTGATAGAGCTATACCTAAAGATTTTTCAATCATAATAAGCTCCTTGGGCTCGATGCAGGTGTGCAAAGCGGGCTTTTCGAATACCAGCCACAACCAGCAAATGTACCAAATAATACCCATTATAGAGTAGAAGTAAAACGGGGCGAAAAGGCTAATATTTTTCATAAGGAGACCGCAGATCATCATTGAAAACATTACACCTGAAAAAACCTATATTAATAGTATATTATACAGGGTGACTGAGAGTAAATTTTTCTTTTCGAACGCGCCTTGTACATTATTCAACTTAATAGAGAAGGGGTTAGCACTGGTAACATGGAGCAATGGTCGAATCAGCAACGAACGTTCATGGTCGAGACGTTATTTCGACAAATATTAAGTTAGTTGTACCAGGGTGTTCAGAAATAGAAATTTACTCTGTATAATAAATGGTGGTAACTAGGTTATTACCGCACCGAGAGAAATTTCCAAACCGAGCCTGTGCGGCGAGGTTTGCAAACTCTAAGGGCGGTTATAACCTAATTATTATATGTAATATATACAGTATTTTATCTACAGTTGAGTGGTACTAAAATAGACCGTCAGCGTCAGCTAATGACAAAATTTCACCCCCAAAACAAAAGTCGTACCAGCGTAACAACCGCTAAAAGCGACGGTAGCCAAGCGACTTCTCTCCAAAGGTGGCGCCCAATGTCGCATAATACCGTGACAGGCCGGATAAGTGACGCCCTCTACCAGTCCCTGCATAACTTTGATGATGATCAGTCCCGTCGGGCTGTCGTACAGGGCGGGCACGAAAAAATTCAACAGGCACGACGATCCGATAGCGGCGCCGAAAAGCTTGTTGGCTGGATAAGCGGCCGCGATCAGTCCACCCGGTATTTGGGTGATGAAGTAGCCCCAGAAAATCGCCGATTCGATGGCAGATATCGTGCCTTTTGACATTTGCGCTTTCTTTATCGAATTGCCCTGGAACAAAGGCAATTAATCTTTAACTTTGTTGCTCTTGCATTGTAAAAGAAGGATGGAAATAGATTACTGCCTACTTCAGTTGTTGGATCTTACCCCTTCAATTTCAGCATTGACCATCCCCATAGTCTCCCTCATGCCAAACATGATAATAAATCCGATGCAGCATAGTAAAGAGACGGTGGCGCGTCTAGTCAAGTGGGGTATCTCTGCTTTAATGTAACTAAAAATTAATTCATTAATTTGTTTGATGAATTGGCGCATGCGCACTTACTGGTCGATTTTTCTGAGCGGTGGTCGTTGATATTCGGGCAAACTATCTAAGCTGACGTCATCCAAGTCGACGGGTTTTTTCAGAGGCGGCGGTTCCTCGAAATCGTCATATTGTTTCCTGAAACATAAGAGACATCATCTTTGGTAAAAATAAATTATTCAAAAATTTCAAACTTAATTTGTCTAAAAACTATAGATCTGGGAATATTGTAAATTATAGGCCATTCATAGCTCAATAAGAGCTACAAATGCTGCAAATCTTAATGCAACTTGCTCAACGGTTACCGAGCAATTGAAGTTTGAATATTTTGATATGAGAATTCAAAGGGGGTTAAGAAAAACTCGATTTATTTATTTTCTAGTTTTGCTCAATTTTGATCAAACCGATAGAGCGGGTCCAAATTAGTAGAAAACAACCCTGACATCATTTCCAAATGACCATTTTAAGCAGAAACAAAACTAAGAAGGAAATACTATTTTTGGCTCTGGAAAATTTTCAAAATCTTGACATGGTCATGAGCAATTGCCATATCTTTGTTAAATTTCAAGCAAATTAAAATAAATTATATATCATTGGAAAGAAAATTAAATTCTCTATAAATTTATGTAAAACTGAGTTTGATGGCTCAAATAGTTTTTAAGCAATTGAGCCTCAGAGTTGACTTTTAGTCCAAATTTTATCAAAAATTTCAAACTCGATTTGCTCAAAAACTATAAATCTGGAAATATTGTAAATTTAAGGCTATTTAAAGCCTAATAGGAGCTACAAATTTTGAAAATTTTAATGCAATATGCTCAACGGTTACCGAGCAATTGAGGTTCGAATATTTTGAAATCAGAATTCAAAGGGGGTAGGTACAGGGTCATTTTTTATATTTTCCCACTCCCCTTAACTTTTTTGTGCCACTGTGTATAAAAAAAAATTAAATAGGAAAGTTGAAGTGCTTGAAAAATAGTTCTCAGAAAACATAGTTTTGTTCATACAGGGTGTTGCAAAAAGTTTAAAAAACAGAAAAATATATTTTTTTAAATGACATCCTGTATATTATTACATTTCTAGATTCTGCGGAAAATTCTAGACATATTTGATGTATAATGTCATATACCTATCTTGAACTGTTTCGGAAATAATGACAGTAGAAAATTGACTTTTTTGCAACTTTGATAGGCTGTTAAACTTAAACTATTAATTTTACAGCAAAACCGATTTTACATTCTTGTCGACAGCTTTTCATTAGCTAGCATTTGACACCAACTTTGAATTTAACCGGAGATAAAATTTAACCGGAATTTTTAATCATGGATTAACTTCAAAAATGTTGTCAAACTAAGATAAGAATGTATGATCGGTTTTGCTGTAAAATCAACCGTTTAGGTTTTACAGTCTGTCAAAGGTGCAAAAAAGTCAATTTTCTACTGTCATTATTTCCGAAACAGTTCAAGTTAGGTACCTATATAACATTATACATGAAATATGTCTAGAATTTTCCGTAGAATCCAGAAATCTCATAATATATAGGGTGTCCCATTTGAAAAAATATATTTTTTTTGTTTTTTAAACTTTTTGCAACACCCTGTATGAACAAAACTATGTTTTCTGAGAACTATTTTTCAAGCACTAGGTACAACTTTCCTATTTAATTTTTTTTTTATACACAGTGGCACGAAAAAGTTAAGGAGGGTGGGAAAATATAAAAAATAATAATTCACAAATTACACTTTCCAAATTTCGATATTTCAATGTAATTTAGAAAAATCTGACAACATTATTTCAATCAATCCTGCGCCTCTACGACAAAAATCTGTGAATCTGGGATACACAGTAATACGAGACCGAAGGGCCGGAGTTATACGCGAGCCCGAAGGGCTAGAGTTATTTTAATCACGGAACCCAGTCTATAATTCTATTGGTCAGCGGATAATTTGGAGCCAATCAAAAATCGGAAATATTCAAAATAAAATCATTAACATTTCTGAAAAATAATTCCCTTTAAAATTCCCAAATATTTTTTGGAATCCCCAAAAATCTGTTAAAGTCTCAGAATTTAATAATTTAGTGGAATTTTCAGGAATTTCGGTAGAATAATTATGTTATTCTGAAAAAGGAATTAGATGTGAAATTTTTGAGGAATTTCCATAGAATTCACATTAAATTTTAATTCATCTCGAATTATTTGAAATTTCAGTGAAATTCCGATCGAATTACACGAAATCCTAAATAAATTACATGGAGGAATTCTAAACAATTATATGAAATTACATCGAAATTCCCAACATGAAATCTCAGTTCTTACTGAATTTTAGTAATGCCGAAGAATTTCCAGCTAAAAGCCGAAATTCCATCGGTGATATTCCGAAAAATTCCCATGTAATAACATGAAATTTTAATATATTTCGGTGAATTTTTAAGAAATTACTTGAAGCTTCATAAATATTCCCAGAAATTCCTAGCAATTAAAAGAGAATTTCAGTGAAATTCCGAAAAAATTCTTTTGATAATAAATTAAATTTTGAAAAATTCCTTGAAGTTTCATTGGAAATTTTCGGCTATGAACGTGGATATTCTCATAAAATTTTAGTAAATTCCGAGGAATTTTTAGGAAATTACATGAAATGTCAATAAAATTCCGAAGAATTTTGTGGAATTCCAGGATTTCAGTGGTAAAATTTTGAAGAATTTTAGTAAAATTAAAAAAAATATATGGAATTTTGAAAATGAAATCTTAGTGGAATTCCCAGGAATTTCATGAAAGACTGTAATTCCGAAAAAAATTTGTCCAAGAATTCCATAAAATTTTTGAAATGTTAAGGTATTTCTATGGAATTACTTAAAATTTTTGCGGAATTCCCATAGAATAACTTAAAATTTTAGTGAAATTTCAAAGAATTTTGATGAAATCTTCGAGGGGTTAATCACTCCCCGAAATCGTGTTACAAAATCGTCCGAAATCCACGAAATCACTTCGAAATTCCTCCGGAATCTTTCAGAAATCTTTCCGTAAACCCAAAAAGTCCTCGTCATTGGCTCAAAATTCATAAATCGGCCAACGCGGTTGTTTTTCAGTTTATACTAATACACTTTTGAATATACTAACAGTAAAATCAAATTAAAATTTTTGCGAAATCACTTGAAATTCTCCGAAATCTCCCGAAATCCTTCGAATTTACCCGAAATCCTTCGGAATCATCCAAAATCCCTTTTAAAATCGCTCTAAATTTGAAATCTTGTCACAGTGAATAATCCTTCGAAATCTTTCCGAAATCCTATTTTTTTACTGGAAAAATTTGAAATTTTGGGAAAATGAGCTTTTAACTTTTTTTTCTCACATGCAAAAAGTTTCAAAATCTTTTCCTTAGTAGCTTTTCAGGAAAACTTTAAAATGTGTGAGACTGTATTTTCAATTAATTCATTTATTGGAGGTTGATTTCCAAGATTTTTCATGTTGTCATTTTCCACTAGAAAAATTTGAAATTTTGGGAAAATAAACCTCTGACTTTCCTCTTCACATGCAAAAAGTTTCAAAATTTTCTCTTAATTAGTTTTCCCTCGAGTTTTCCAGGAAAACTTTGAATTGCGTGAGACTGTATTAACAATTAGGTATTTCAGCTTTTGTAAGTTTATTTCCAAGATTCCTTATGTTGCTATTTCCCAATGGAAAAATTTGAAATTTTGAGAAAATAAGCTTCAAATCTTCCTCTTTATATGCAAAAAGTTTCAACTTTTCCTTCAATTAGTTTTCCAGGAAAATTTTGAAAGTGTGAGACTGTATTTTTCAAGAGGCAAACCACCTTGGAATTCTTTGTTAGAAGCTTGGGGAATTTATAGGAAATTTGGAAAAATTCATGGAGAATTTGGAGGATTGTGTTCGATGTTGGACAAATTTCAAGGAATAGTCGTAGAATTACACTTACATGGAATTCCTTGAAAACTTATTGTGGAATTCCAGTGAAATTATATCGAAACCGAAAAATTCCCTCGGAATTAAACAAAATTTTCCGTGAAATTTCCATGGAACCACGAAAAATTCCGAAAACTTGAATTAAAATTTAGTGAAATTCTTAGTAATTTCTGTCGAAATTTCTATGAAATCTTTTACTGTAATTCCGAGGAATTTTTGTTCAAGAATTTCATTGAATGTTATGGTGGAATTCGGAAAAGTATTATGAAATCCTATGATAAAATGTCTAGGATTTTCTGTTTTTCTATTCAAATTTGTCATTTAAATGGAATTTCAAGGATTTCCATGAAATCTTCTAGTGAAATTTTGAGGAATTTCTATGGAATTAACAAAAATTTTCGCAGAATTCCCATGGAATATTTATCGTTAGGGCTCTCCTAACCCGTTTCTAAACTTCCTAAAATGATCCAAAATCACCTAAAATCTCATAAATTTAAAATCTTTTAGAATCACGTGAAGTTTTTTCAAAATCCTCAAAATCCTACAAAATCAATGCCTAAAGATTCAATTATGTAGGTACTCAATTTTTTGGAGTTAACTAAACTTTGAGCGGTTAATTGATGAAAATTTGTATACAAGTTGGTCAAAATTCCAGAAAAACTCGTAAGATCTACTCAAAATCACTGCAAATCTTTTAGCCTCCTCACTTGACATAGTCACGAGCCGCCACTGAGAAACACAGCCAAAAACATTGACGAAAACCCTCATCACCCTGTATACGCGGTCTACAAATAATAAAACCCCATTAAAAAATCTTAATTTTCCGGTCCTTATTGTGTGCACCATCGATCACGATTTTGTGTGATATGATTTTTCCTCCTCATCCTCCTGCCTCCTCTCTTGGCGTCTTTAGCTTTTAGGGGAGAATCGAGCACTTTCTTCTTTTCGCAATGAATACGAAACGGCGCCGTCGGCATGGCAAGTGACGTCAAGTGGCTTCTTATTACGTTGTCCATTATCAACGCTAATGAATATTATACAGGGTGTAATTGCAACAATATTATCAAAAATAACGAATTCTCATTTTACCATTTTGCAGTTGCTTTATTTGCTATAGAAACACAATAATTTTGGAATCGTTGTTTTGGGGGGATGATAAATTCCGAGAGTCGAACAAGGGATTTGGGCTCTGAGTTTTCCCCCCCGTAAAGAAGCTATG